CTCAAAAAAAAAAAAAAAAGAAAGAGTACATTTGTAGATAGGAAATTCTGATTATGATTATTTTTAAAGGAATGTCCTATTGTAGATATCTCTAGGAAGGAGTTGATAGATCTTTGACTTGTGTACCTTTGAATGAATCATACAGACTTCCACCCACACACTAGAACTCAGACAGCCTTCTATTTGTTATTTCCTATTAAGCGATACAAAAGATTCTGATGTAATTAGGCTCTGTCTTTCTTAAACTGGTTAAAGTTTAAATAGACCTCCGTGAGTGTACTGCTCTTTCTACAGTCAGGGTCATTAACAAATATGCTACCAGGTGACTGCCTCTGATTTCAGAGACTGAACTATGTCATTACCTGTTAATGATTTTCTTTTTCTTTTCCTCAGATCATTGCTTTTGTCCTGGAAGGAAAAAGATCTAAAGTCACCCGGCGGCCAAAGGCCAGTGACTACCAACGTTTGGACCAGAAGGTAAGGAAGGAGGAGCCAGGTCCACGGGAGGGATAGTTAACGTTAGATGGACCCAGTAGTGGGCTTGCGTTTGCCATGGCAGCAGTGGCCGATTCTGGGGGTGCTGTTGCTGTTGCATTCGCCCTTTTTAGACAACAAACTAGAAACATCTAGATACACATATCTCTGACGTTAGAGCTAGAAGAGACCTTCGAATACTCTACAGCAGCTCCCTCCCTTGACAGATGAGGAAATAGGCCCGCACAGAAACACTCATTTTTTTTTTCCGCTAAGTTTCTACTGCAAGTTAGTGGCAAAATCAGGACTTGATAGCAACTCCCTGGTCTCCCAGTCTTGAGCTTTCTGCATTCTACCAGCGCTCCATAAACTTTAATAGGCATTTGAATCACCTTGGGGAATTTTGATAAAAAGCATTGTCTGATTCATTTGATGTGGGGTGGAGCCTATATTTCTACATTCTTCTTTTTTTTGGAGGCAGAGTTTCGCTCTTGTTGCCCAGGCTGGAGTACAGTGGTGCGTTCTCGGCTCACTGCAACCTCTGCTTCCTGGGTTCAAGCTATTCTCCTGCTTCAGCCTCCCAAGTAGCTAGGATTACAAGTGCCACCACCATGCCCAGCTAATTTTGTATTTTTGGTAGAGATGGGGTATCTCCATGTTGGTCAGGCTGGTCTTGAACTCCCAACCTCAGGTGATCCACCTGCCTCAACCTCCCAAAGTGCTGGGATTACAGGCATGAACCACCATGCCCGGCCTATGTCTACATTCTTAGGAAGTTCTCAGGTGAAACCAAATGCCACTGGATCCACACTTTATGTGGTAAAGCACTAGACTACGCTCCCCGAAAACAGAAGCCCAGAAGCACATAGGCCTCTAACTCCCCACATCAGCCTGGCTTAAGCACTGTGGGCTGGAGTTCCTGAGTACAGCCAATCGATTCCTCTGTCAGAGAGATAAGCCCTCCTTCCACCCCTATTGGGGGAACCCCCACTCCCAGTATTTAAACGTAGGTTCTTTCTATTTTTCCTAAGTGTCGGCTGGTCTGAGAAATAAAGAGAAAGAATACAAAGAGAGGAATTTTACAGCTGGGCCTCTGGGGGTGACATCATATATTGGCAGGACCGTGATGTCCCCCTGAGCTGCAAAACCAGCAAGTTTTTATTAGAGATTTCAGAAGGGGAGGGGGTGTATGAACAGGGAGTAGGTCACAAAGATCACATGCCTCAAAGGGCAATAAAGATCACAAGGCAAAGGGCAAAGCAAAAATCACAAGGCAAAGGGCAAAATTAGAATTACTGATAAGGTTCTGTATGCAGTTGTGCACATATTGTCTTGATAAACATCTTAACAGAAAACAGAGTTCGAGAGCAGAGAACAGGTCTGACCTCAAGTTTACCGGGGTGGGATTTTTTCCCTACCCTAATAAGCCTGAGGGTACTGCAGGAGACCGGGGTGTATTTCAGTCCTTATCTTAACTGCGTAAGACAGACACTCCCAGAGCAGCCGTTTATAGACCTCCCTCCAGAAATGCAGTTCTTTTCCTAGGGTCTTAATATTTAATATTCCTTGCTAGGAGAAGAATTTAGCAATATCTCTCCTACTTGCACATCTGTTTATAGGCTCTCTGCAAGAAGAAAAATATGTCTCTATTCTGCCCAACCCCACAGACAGTCAGACCTTATGGTTGCCTTCCCTCGTTTCCTGAAAATTGCTGTTGTTCTGTTCTTTTTCAAGGTGCACTGATTTCATATTGTTAAAACACCCATGTTTTACAATCAGATTTCATATTGTTCAAATATACACGTTTTACAATCAGTTTGTACAGTTAACGCAATCATCACAGGGTCCTGAGGTGACATACATCCTCAGCTTCCTAAGATAACAGGATTAAGAGATTAAAGTAAGACAGACATAGGAAATTATAAGAGTATTACTAGGGAAGTGATAAATGTCCATGAAATCTTCACAATTTATGTTCCTCTGCTGTGGCTTCAGCCGGTCCCTCCGTTTGGGGTCCCTGACTTCCCTCAACACACCCCATGGCAGCAGAGCTGAGCAAGGGTCTCTCTAAAGAAAACCTGTCTAAGTAGGAAGAGTGTACTCTACTGCATTGCTACCAGTGTGCACCCTTCCTTCTGGTTTCACATAGCAACAAGCAGGACATTGGCAAAGAACCATTGGTGGCCCAAATATGAATTGTTCCCAAACTTCCTGCAGGGAACATGATTCTCTTGTACAACTCAATATTAGCTACAGAACGAGCCACTGAGCTCACAACATCTTTGCTATCTAGTCCAGTAGGCCAGCTTTACAATTTAGCTCTGGACTACTACCTTTTCAGATAATTGACTTTAAGGATTTCCCCTTTTTATGATATTTGTTTGTTTGTTTTTGAGACAGAGTCTCACTCTGTTGTCCAGGCTGGAGTGCAGTGGCTCAATCTTGGCTTACTGCAACCTCCACCACCCAGGTTCAAGCAATTCTCCCGCCTCAGCCTCCCAAGTAGCTGGGATTATGGGCGCCCACCACCACGCCCAGCTAATTTTTAGATTTTTAGTAGAGACGGGGTTTCACCCTTTTGGCCAGGCTGGTCTTGAACTCCTGACCTCAAGTGATCCACCCACCTCAGCCTCCCAGAGTGCTGGGATTACAGGCGTGAGCCACCGTGCCCAGCTTGTGATTTAAAAAAAATACACATGTGGCTGGGCACAGTGGTTCATGCCTGTAATCCCAACAGTTTGGGAGGCTGAGGCAGGAAGATCACCTGAGGTCAGGAGTTCGAGATCAGTCTGGCCAACGTGGTGAAACTCCATCTCTACTAAAAATACAAAAATTACCTGGGCATGGTAATCCCAGCTACTGCTGAGGAGGCCAAGGTGGGGGAATCGCTTGAACTTCGGAGGCAGAGGTTGCAGTGAGCCAAGATTGTGCCACTGCACTCCAGCCTGGGCGACAGAGCAAGACTCCGTCTCAAAAACAAAACAAAAACAAAAACAAAAACAAAAAACACATGTAAATGATTCACAACAATACAGAACAGTATGAGGCAGAAGCCAGGATTCTTATCTCTCCAAGTGTATGTCTTTCTAGTGTTATGTTTCATTTCAAACTTTAAAAATCATTTTGTGTGCTATTTTAATTAATTGCTGTTTCTGTGATGGTGGGTCAGTATGTCTTAATTCTGAATGTGTTCCCTGCACCTCCTAAAAGATCTTTTTTTTCTCCCCAAAGTCATAACAGAATGGTATATTCCTCTGGAAAAAGATGAACGTCACCAATGGATTGTGCTGCTCTCGTTTCAGCTTTGAATTTTTTGTCCTTGAGAACCTTGTCCTCCCTGCTGATTTGTTTCTAAATCAAAAGAAATGAAGAAAAAAGTACTGTGACCTAAGAGACACCCTCCTCTAGGATTTAGTGGCAAGTCTGGGCTGGCAGAGGTAGGGGGTTGCTTTGGGGTTTGCACCTGCACTTTGGTGACATCGTTCTTCTGTGTTCCCCTTATTTATGCTGGTGGCTTCCATCCATTCCTCCTCTGAGTGTGAGTGGAGGGCCATGTGGAAACACGGCTATGACCAAAGGGATATCCCAGTCTGGGCAGGTTGCGCTGCTGACCACCCTCCCTTGGGGCCCGGGCTCTGTAGGAAAGTTGGCCCTTGATTGTGGCATTGCACTCTCACGGTTTCTCTCTGCAGACCTAGGGGAAAACTGCAGGTAGAAGTGCTTTTCTACTAAGGCCTCTTACTTTTGGGGGGATGTGCCCTACAGAAGACATAGAAGATGGGGAAATGCCGATGGGCAAAGAGCTACTTTGAATACATAATTCTCTTCAAAGACTTCAGCAGCAAACCAAAACAGCAGGTTAAAAAAAAAAATGCTTTTCTGGGTGCAAGTCTAACCTGTCTAGCATGAGATCTTCTTGATTTTCTGATTATTTTATGTAACTTGAAACAAAGTGAATCAGCTTCCACTTGGTTGTGCCGAGCATAAAACAGAACTTGGGCTTCCTAATAGGCCACTGTCCCATCACAGATTTTTAAAATAAATATGATTTGAAATAGTGTGATCTTTCACACAATCATACTCAGTAGGAACTTTTTGAAATAGGGCAACTTCATGTTTCATGCGAGAAAACATGAAGGAGGGTTTTGGTTTTGGTCTGCAGTTTTTCCAAAGGGCTTTTATGAGATACATTTCCCACAAAGTCCATTTGGCCTTTGTTGCCTAAAACAGACAAAATAGACTTAGATTTATTAATAGAAACTAACTATACTCTCTGCCCATTTTTACCTCAGTGTATTTAATGGTCCTTTAATCTGATATAAGATGCCAAGGGTATTTGATAAAAATTATTCTTCCATGCCATGTCAGGAGTTAATGCAAATGAAGAGATTCCGTGGGTTCCCCTGGGATAAGTGAGGTTAGTGTCTTAGACCACACTATTGTTTGAAGGTTTATCTCTTCTAGTCATGCTCTTCCACTTTGTAGACGGCCTAAAGAGAGTTGTTTTTGAGCTGATCTCAGGGAAGTACAAATAACTTGGGAGATGAGGGACAAAAGATGATTCTGTGCTGTCAAGGCAGTAAGTCTGAAGAAAGGACCATGCTTCTTATATTATCTTCCACTTTGCTTAAAACAGCCCATAGCTTTGAGTTGACATTTTCATTCTTGGCAGGTAGCCTACTTTATGGAGGTAAGGAATGAAGACCTACCCTTGGGTCATTCTCTGTACTGATGCATCAGTCTTCTAATACTTTGCACCAACCTGAGGAATCTTCTTTTAGGCTCCTCTAGCATCCCCTAAGACCGTGGCTATTGCACTTCTCTCTCCCTGCCTGCCTCCCTTATCCCTGCCTTTCCCCTCCTCGTGTTTTCTGATTGTGCCCATCTATACCAGCTCCTTTCCTTCCACCTTCATATGCACCTGGATTTTTCTGTTCCCAACTGTCCTATTTGTTATTCATCCTGCTACTCAACTTCTCCAGCATGTTGCTTCCCTTAAGTTGCCATTCATTCTCTTCATGACTTTTACCAACTCACTTCGGTCTCTGTCTGTCAACTAAGCTTTTCTAAAGGTTACCAGTTATCAGATTACCAAATCCATGGCTTTTTCTCAAAGCTTAGTCTTGTCCTTGATGGAACTGGACACTGTTGACCATCCAAATGGAAATTCCCCTTTCTTGATATCTCTGACAAATGGTCCTTTGCCTTATCTTGTGCTGGTGGGAAAGAGGCCCTCAAAGCCAGGCCTCTCTATTCCTTTGACTGTCTCCTCAGCCATTCACATCCATTCTTCATCCTTGGAGTGAGTGATTCCCAAGTCTTTGTCTTGGCTTAGTACCTAAAGAACCCAGTGCTGCTGGTATCGAATAGTTCAGCTTGGTTGTCACAGAAAGGAATTTCTCTCTTCTGCCCATCAGCCTGCCCCTTCCAACTGTCCAGGTCTGTCTTCAGTCACCTGAATTCCTAACTGCAGACTTTTGCCCTTTTTCTCTCTCATCACCAAAGTCCTATCCGTTTTTTAAAAAATAAAAGATCCTTAGCTACAGTCTTTTCGTTTTCCTTGCTTCTCTTGTTGCCCACCCCCAGCCCGTTTTACTTCTCTCTTGGATTTTCTGTTTTCAGATCCACATTTACTGGGTTTCCTGTGCAGCTTCTTGGAAAGAAGTTCAATCTTGGAAAGACTGATCTTTCCAAAATATTTGCCCTGGTCTGAAGCTTTGGTCTGAACTTCTCGAGGCTTAGAGAATCCAGTTACAGACTTTTTGGGGTTCAGGATGCTATAGATTGACACCCTCCTGCCTGTCTTTCTCTGCATCCCAACCTGGCCAAGGTCCCTCCTGTGGGGTGCCCATCTGTGCCTTTATTCTGGCTGTGCCCTCGACTTTCCAGCTTCCCATGGTTCTTTGGTTAGGTTTCTCTTCCTTCTCTTCTTTCTCCTGCCTTCCCCAATCTGCCTGTTTCTTCAGGGCCCAGCTCGTTTCCTCGTACGCCTTCCTCACTACCCCACCCCACGCTGTCAACTCCTTCCCTCAGCTCCACTAGCTCTTCATCATGCCACTCCTTTCAGAACTTCAACAAACCAGGGCGGTCAGGATCTGAAGTCTTTCTGGTCTCCCCAGGCAAACTAAGCACTTGAGGGACAGCCCTTGGCAACGCTTTCCTGTCTGCTGAGCATGGTGACCTTCCTTAGGACTTCCAGAGTTCAGTTCCTTCTGGCAGATATGTTTTCTTTTTCCATGCCATATGGATGTGACTCAAATGTGGGGTCCCACAGCTTTTCCTGGCTACCACTTGCTGTGACCTTATACATGTTGGGTTTTGCTCTTGAAGAGGAGAGCAGGAAGAAAGGTTGGTTTCAGAAACCAAGAGGGATGGCAGTGGACGAGTACATTTTGTCACGGAGTCCACAGAGCTGAGCTTTTGAGCAGACTCTGAGAAGTATCATTGCTTGTGTTGAAAGAATACAACAGGATTTAAGTTTCTCTTTAGAAATTGCACTGAAGAAAGGCAGGGCGCGGTGGCTCACCCCTGTAATCCCAGCACTTTGGGAGGCCGAGGTGGGCGGATCACGAGGTCAAGAGATCGAGACCATCCTGGCCAACATGGTGAAACCTCGTCTCTAATAAAAATACAAAAATTAGCCGGGCGTGGTGGCGTGCACCTGTAGTCCTAGCTACTAGGGAGACTGAAGCAGGAGAATTGCTTGAATCCGGGAGCCGGAGGTTGCGCTGCGCTGAGATCATGCCACTGCACTTCAGCCTGCCAATAGAGCGAGACTCCGCTCAAAAAAAAAAAAAAAAAAAGCACTGAAGAAAATACCACACAGCAAAGGAAAACTTATTTTCTGCAAGGTGTCTTTTCAAAGATAGAATGTTTGAAGCATGTTTCCTGGAGATTGTGTGGATGAGGGTGAGCTGGCTGAGGCATCGTTCAAGCTGGGGGGTGTAAGAAGCACGTGCAGCCACAAGAGGCACCTCCTATAGTCAGCTAAGGGCTTCCCTTTCTGCGCCCAGCTTTTGGGTGAAGGGTGATTTCTGTTAGACAAATCTGTGCTTCAGTCATAGATGTTAATAGAGGAAGCAATTTTCCTGCTGCAGATCCCTGAATAGAGTTGCTGAAACAGTCTAGTTCCGGACTTAGGGGAGTTCGAAGGCCAGTCTGTAGAAAGGCTGAGGCAACGGGGAAAGACTTGACAACTAGTTACATATGCTGTGACATGGGACCCCCATGATGGCTTCCAGTGACACATGTGCTGATAGAATTCTAAACCTCTGGAATTTCCCTGCTGGTTAATTCTATGGCCCTTGACTGTACAGGGTGACCTGATACCAGATGCTGTGGGCGTGATGAGAACTAGAGAACTCGCAGTGTGGAGGAAGCTGTGTGAGGCACCAGACCCTGTGCTTCTGCAGGCCATTTCCTGAAAACCCCTGTTAGAAAGGTTGGGTTTAGTGTGACTTGCTTGAGCAAGAGTCCTTGGGAGAGATTTTGAGGTTTAATTTAACGGTATCTCCAGAGCTAACAGTGACTCCATTCAGCTAGTTCCGCAAGTCAGATGTAAACTTAGAGTCTCCGTTGTGAAGGGTTTGGGTCTGAGCTGTATAGTACGTCCGTGGGTAAGCCCAGCCCTTCACCCTCTGATAGATACTCCTTTAATTCACCAGACTTCATGTTCGATACATTATTAATAGTTGAAATTGTTTCTCTTCTTTTGTATTTTCCCAGTTAATAGATGGCTACTGTTTCCACAATGTTTTATATTTTCAGCTTTTTGTAACTTAATTACTTAATTTTATTTTTTTAAAGCTTGTTGCGGTCTAATGAGAAGTATTTTTCAGTGCATAATGTTTTTCCGAGCTTCTGTTAATGCCATCCCAATGTAGTTTTGTTTTGTTGAACAGAAACCAAAATAAATTTCAAAATGTTAAAGCAATGGATTTAATACATTTATTTTATTTTAATTTTATTTTTGAGATAGAGTCTTGCTCTGTCACCAGCCTGGAGTGCAGTGGTGCGATCTTGGCTCACTGTAACCTCCACCTCCCAGGTTCAAGCGATTCTTCTAACTCAGCCTCCTGAGTAGCTGGGACTACAGGTGTGCGCCACCATGCCCAGGTAATTTTTGTATATTTAGTGAAGACGCAGTTTCACCATGTTGGCCAGGATTGGTCTCAATCTCTTCCTCGTGATCCGCCCACCTCGGCCTCCCAAAGTGCTGGGATTACAGGCGTGAGCCACGGCACCCGGTCAATAAATTTATGAATATTACATTAAGATGAACTACAATAAGACCTTTGGCATGTCAGTTTAACATAAGTGAAAGGTCCTTTTTATGCCTTTTGAGCCTGCCTTCACCTTCCATCCAACACACACAGGTACCAGTAAATTGCAGATGCCATTTCTGGGCTTTGCACACTTTCTCTGGCTTTCCATGTTCTGCTCCTGACCAACTCTCCTACCACCTGACTCCTCCCAGCCTGGCTGCCTCTGTTGCTTTCAGTAGCTGGGCCATTGCTGGGAACACTCTGTTGCCTCCCTGTGCTGTCCCCTGCTGTGCCGTTGTCTGGAATGCCTTGCAGCCTGCCTCAACACAATAAGGTAGTCTTCTAACCAGTCCATGACCTGACTCCTGACGTCACCCTTCCCTGCGTCACCCTTCCGCGCATATTTGGAGGATGAGGCTTGATTGAGGCTCAGGTACTGAGCTCCCTGAAGGTGCCTTGATGCTGGCACATCGAGAACCAGATGCCACCCCGATCATAAGGAAGACAGACCCAGGACTTCCATATGAATTGGATATGATCATCTGACGTGCCCCCTAATAACTGATGGATCCCGCTGTTACCCCAAAGCTCCAGACCACACCGGGCCAGACACAGGCATTTCCCGTGCCCTGAAGAGCCACTGAACCCAGCACAAAAGAGATCTAGAGCTCTCCAAACCTATGGAATGGCAACCAAAACCATGTCCAGGTTTTGAGTTAAGCCTCATTAGTCTCCCTTCTCCCTCAACAGTGTAGAACTGTGCAGCACAGCACTAAGTGAATGAGAGCAGAAGCCTCAGGACAGAACTGAACCCACCAGCTTTAGCTGACAACACTGCCAGGGGTTCTATCCACCGATGGAATTTTCTCTGATCACTGAGTGAGGAGGCATGGGTGAGGGATGCAGAGCGCTGCTCGTCATGAGACATCAAGCTATCCAAGTCAATATCCTGTTAGTAGGGACGGGATGTTATAAAAGGCATAATGATCTCACCTGCCGCAGCTGGAAGCAATGATTCCATTGCCCCAGATTCGGAATTGTGATTTAAACTAGGCCTGTCTTCAGGAATCAGAACCAAATCAGAACCAAATTGCCTTATATGTGCAAGGAACTAATGC